GTCCCCGCCAGCCACGCCCCAGGCCACGCGACGGCCTTCGGGCCTGGGGCCGAGTCGAGAACCGCCCAGCGGGGGTGCCACACCCACCAGTGAACGCTCACTGGGTCTCGCGCTCCCCCACCCCAGCCGCAACACATGCCAGAGCTCCCCTTCCTTTGCGCGGCGTTGGAAGCCTACACATTTGATTTCCCCCCATGCTTTGGGGCGGTGATGTAGGGCCCTGGCTGAGGCCTCGGCAATTCATCTAAAGATTATGTCTATTCTGAACTCACGGGGCTGCAATGATAAATGATGCTCCCCTACCCCTGACTCCCAGTGCCTGTCCCGAATCCCTGTACCCCAATCCCCTCCAGAGTGGCCTGGCCCAGCTTGGGAGAGCCATGGGAGCCTTAGGTCTCCTACTCTTAAAGGCTCTCCCATCCTAAAAACCCTCAGCACTTTCTATGAATGTCTCTTCCTGCATTGATCTCTCTGCACTGAATTAACTGGGGGATTAGTTTGGGATTTTAAATATAGGACAGAAAAGACTTGAATATGGCCACAAGAGGCCAGTGGAGGGGGGGACGGAGGCCACAAGTATGGGACTGTGCCTTGTGTAAAAGGCCCGTGCTGGCCAGAGGGCAGGCCTGGGTGAGGATGCTGGGTGTGGTTAAAGAGATTAAAAAAAAAAAAACCAAGGCCTTTCCCTGGGAGAGATGGGAAGGGCATCTAAGAGGCTGCAACGAGGCATAGCTCCAAGTCACTGAGACCCTCCTGCACAGCAGGGGACACACCCATAAGGTCCCTCCTGTCTGAAAGCCTAGAGTCTGGAGTGGGAGACCAAGGTCAACTGCAACCTCTGAGAAATCAGCTTTGATTCCCGTGACACTAGGACTTCAGAGATGCTCCATCCTAACAGGCTGAGTGAACAAAGGATGAGCAAGGGGGATTTCTACCACGGGATACAGCATGGCACCAGGCAAGCATCAGACACTCAGTAAACACTAGTTTTCCCTTCCCTTCCTTACCCACTGAAAGCTGATTTATAAACACATAGAAGAAACCAGAAACAAACAAAAACAAATGCTTAGAAAGTAAATATCCATATGTATAAAAAATTACTATATTTAAAAGACAGTAACACTCTTCCCCTTCTTATTTTTTCTTTCTCTCATAATGTGCAGCAGCAGGCAAAAAGATCTCTCGAAGGTTGCTCCAAAGCCCGTGGGAGTGAATGTTCCGGTAGATCCGGGGCTCTGCTGATGGGGGCCAGGCCACATGGGGGTGCCAGGCCCAGTCACCTTTGTACCACTCATTAGTGGTCTGGTTGGTGGCCACCAGGTACAGAACAAAGCACAGGTAGCCCCCCAGGAGGAAGCTCAGCACCACGACAAAGCCCAGCATGAAGACGATCCTTGGGAAGGTCAGGAACAGGTACTGGGGGCAAAGAAGCAGAAGCACATTAGGCAGCTAGGCTGTGACACAAGTCAGGGTCAGCACCCAGCACCCACAAACATGTCCGAGCTGCCTCCCCGGGTCACCCACCTCCATACACATCTGACCCACTGGACACAAATCAGAACCATAAAAAGCATGACAAACAGCCCAGGAAGAAGTCCTAGTATGTACAAGAGTTTAACATGGGAAAAATGAAGCGTGTCCATGGAAGAAAAAGGGGAAGGATACTCAGGAGATGGTGCTATGCCAGTTAGCTATGTATAAAATAAAGAATAAATGTAGATCTTAGTTCCTGCAAGAAAATCAAGTCCAAATGGAGAGAGCAATCTCTCCCCTAAAACAATACAATCACAGGATACATGTACAAGGGTATTCACTGTAGCACTGATTTTTAACAGCCCCTCTTTCTAAAAGAGGCAAGTTACATGTCCATCCACGAGGAAGAGGAAAACTCTGGCATAGTCATACTATGGAATAATAAGGAGCCATTAAAAATTAGGTCAATTTCCATGTATTGATTTGGAAAAGATGTTGGTAATATATTGCCCAATGAGAAAGCCAAGATGCAGGGATCACAATGGGATCCTATTTGTGCAAAAAACAAAACAAAACTGACGCTGTGAAGGTGTGCAGCCATATAAATACACATAGGAAAAAAGCCTGAAACATACACACCAAACTACTAAAGTGGTTGCCTTTGGGGAGTGAAACTGTTGGGAGGGGAGGAGTATAACTCCCAGTTTTCACTTTATTTTTTCTTTCAAGATGTTTTAAATTTTCTTTTTTCCGCCAGCTTTACTAAGATATAATTGACATACAGCATTGTGAAAGTCTAACATGCACATTGTAATGATGTGATATAGCGAAATGATGACCACAATAAGGTTAGTTAACACATCTATCATCTACATATAATTTTGTGTGTGTCTGTGTATGGTGAGAACTTTTAAGAGCTACTCTCTTAGCAACTTTTAACTATACAACACAGTGTTGTTAGCTACAGTCACCATGCTGTACATTACATTCCAGAGCCTAGTCATCTTTCAACTGGAAGTCTGTACCCTTTGACCACCTTCGCTGATTTCTCTCCTCCCCTTTCATTTTAAACACTCTGGACTGCTTGAATTCTTATAAGTTATTTTTTATAATAAACAAAATGAAGAATTTTGAAAGAGTTCAATATTTTTGCAAAGTCAGGAGAAAAGAGAAGTAGACATTTATCAAAACTCTTGATAGGGGAGACTTTCTAACTGAAGTTACAAAGAAAAGAGATTTGATGAGGAAGAATGTCTAAACTTTTACATACAAAAAAAGATACAAAAATAGAAAACAAATACAATAAGGATTAACTATCATTATGTAAAGAACTCAAATCAAAAGTTATCTAATATCAGAGGTAAACAGTTAAAGGACATAATTCACAAACGAAGATATACAAATGACTGACAAACAAGGAAAGTACTCAAAAGTAATGAAAGAAATATAATTTTTAAAAAGGGTATACCATATTTTCCTATCAAACTAAAAGCACCTCCCACCCCAAGCACCATCAATGCCTGCTCTGATGCAATGAAATGAACACTTACACCTTGCTCTAAGCAATGTGTACACTTACACCTTGCTCTAAGCAAGGTTTTAAGAAGCAATTTGACAACGTATATTAATATCAAAAGACTTATAAATGTTGATAATTTTTGACCCAGTATTTATATTTTTTGGAATCTATCCTAAAGAAAGTCCTAAATACAAAAGTAAAACCATATACACAGATCACCCACTGCAAAGGGGAAATGCACTTCACCAATGGAGAGAGCTGGTGGTCACCATCTTAACCAATGGATCAACCGGGGCTTCACTGATCCTATGTTCTACCTGATGGGATGCAGTATGAAATACACATCCCTGCCTAGAAAGCATTTTTGCCAAAAATATTAATCCGAATCTAATCAAGACTCTAGAATTAACTTCCACGTTACACTAATATAAAGGAATAGAGAAAAATTAGATGACACAATTAGGAAAAAGACAAATCTAGAACAAGGAACATTCTAAAAGACAACTAAACTATTGTTAATTTCATGAATAAAAGCGGGGGCATTATTTTAGACTAAAAGAGACTAAAAAGCCATAACATTCATATGCAATACATAGCTATAAAGTGGATTCTGGTTCAAGGAGGTAAAAAAGCTATAGAAGATATATTTGAAACAATGGGGAAATATGGACTAGACTATGAATATGGACTAGATAGTATACAGATTATTACTTTTCTTAGGTGGTAAACAGCATTGTAGTTATGTAGAATGTTCACATTCTTAAAAGATGCATGCTCAAGTATTCTGGGGTAAAGCAACACGATGTCTCCAACTTGTTTCTACTAATACAGAAAAATATATACAGACATACAGAAAGAAAACATTAAAATGTTAACAATGTTTAAATTTAAGTGGAAGGTATATGGGTAGTCACTTTGTTACTCTTTTAACTTTTCAGTGTGTTTGCAAATTTACACCATTGGAAAAAAATTTAAGAATAAAAACTACTCAAGGTTAAAACAACAATGAGGGGCCAGCCCCGTGGCTTAGCAGTTAAGTGTGCTCGCTCCGCTATTGGCGGCCCAGGTTCAGATCCTGGGCTCGCACCGATGCACCACTTCTCCAGTCATGCTGAGGCCGCGTCCCACATACAGCAACTAGAAGAATGTGCAACTATGACATACAACTATCTACTGGGGCTTTGGGGAAAAAAAAGGAGGAGGATTGGCAATAGATGTTAGCTCAGAGCCGGTCTTCCTCAGCAAAAAGAGGAGGATTAGCACGGATGTTAGCTCAGGGCTGATCTTCCTCACAAAAATAAATAAATAAATAAAAAATAAAACAACAATGAGGTATCACTACATACCTATCAGAATGGCTAAAGTGAAAATTAGTGATAAGATTAAATGCTGGCAAGGATGCAGAGAAACCAGATCATTCCTCATCACTGGTGAGAATGTAAAATGGTATAACCCCTCTGGAAAATAGTATGGTAGTCCTTTTCAAAACCTAAAGTGGACTTACACCCAACAATCACACTGAAGACTTCTTCTCACACAGGAACTAGTAAATGAATGTTCACAGTAGTTTCATTTATAATAGACAAAAATTGGAAACTACCCAATGTCCTTCAAAGGGTCAATGGTTAAAAACACTGTGGTCCATCCATACCACGGAATACTATACAGCAATTCAAAAAAAAAAAAACTATTAAAACATGCAACAACTTGGATGGATCTCAAGGAAATTAAGCTGAGTGAAAAAAACCGATCTCAAAAACATACTGTATGATTCAATTTATGTAACAATCATGAAATAACATAACGATAGAGATGGACAACAGATTAGTGGTGGCCAGACATTGAGGATGTGGGGAGGAGGGTGCGGCTGTAAGGGGGTAATATGAGGAAGTCTCTGGTGGACAGTAGAGCATCTTGATTGTAGTGGTGGTTATGCAAAGTTACATGTCAAAAAATTGCACAGAGCTATACACACACATACACACAAATGAATGCATATACAACTAATGAAATCTGAATCAGCTCTGTGGATTGTGCCAATGTCAATTTCTTCATTTTGGCATTGTGCTGTGGTTGTACAGGGATGTTGCCATGGGATGAGGGGCTTAGGAGTGCATGGGATTCCTGTATATTTCTTTGTAACCTCCTCTAAATCTATAATTATATCAAAATAAGAGTTAAAAAAAAAGATACTGGCTTTGGGACTGTGTGTGTATTTTATCACATTAAGACAATATTCTTTAATTCCTATTTTCTGAGTGCTTTTATTAGAATGGATGCTGAATTTTGTGAAAGGCTTTTCAGCTTCTAGAGAAATAATCATGTCTTGTTCCTTACATTTAATAATGCTGTATAAAATATTAATCTATTTCCTAATATTGAACCAACCTTGCCCTCATGGTATACATCCCATTTGTTCATGGCATTTTATTTTCTTTGAAACAAAAGGGGAAAAAAACACTCAAGGAGAATTAAACAGTTACCTAAAAAAAATAACTGCTCATAAGCTATTTCCCATAAATGAAATCTTTTAGCCATCAAGTGAGTTTTTGAAAGAATGGCTTCAACTCTTACATTAGGGTAAATGAATTTTCGACAAGGGTGCCAAAACAATTCAATGAGCAAAGAATAGTCTTTTCAACAAACGGTGCTGGGACAACTGGATATCCACTTACTAAAGTTGGAACCCTACCTCACACCATATATAAAAATTAACTCAAAATGATCAAAGACCTAAATGTAAAGGCTAAAACTATAAAACACTTAGAAAAATATGTAAATCTTCATGGCCTTGGATTAGGCAATGGTTTCTTAGATATGACACCAAATCACAAGCAACAAAAGAAAAAACAGATAAATTGGACACCAAAATCAAAAATTTTTGTGTTTCCAGGGCCAGCCCAGTGGTGTAGTGGTTAAGTTCACACGCTCTGCTTCAGTGGCCCAGGGTTTGCAGGTTCGGATCCTGGGCACAGACCTACACGCCACTTATCAACCATGCTGTGGCAGCGTCCCACCTACAAAAAAATAGAGGAACACCGGCACAGATGTTAGCTCAGCGACAACCTTCCTCAAGCAAAAAGAAGAGGATTGGCAATAGATGTTAGCTCAGGGCCAAAAAAAAAAAAAAAAATTTGTTTCAAAAAAACTATCAAAAAAAATGAAAAGACAACCCACAGGATGTAGGAAAATATTTGCAAATCATATATCTGATAAGGATCAAGTGTCCAGAATATAAAAGGAACTCTTATAACACAAGAATAAAAGACAACCCAAATAAAAAATGAGCTGCTGCTTCTCTAAATCTTCTTCTCCAAAGAAGATACACAAATAGCCAATAAGCACATGAAAAGATGCTCAACATCATTAGTCATTAGGAAAATACAAATCGAACCACAGTAAGGTATCACTTCATACCCATTAGGAAGACTACAATCAAAAAGACAAATAATAACAAGTGTTGGCAAGGATGTGGAGAAACTGGAACCTTCATAAACTGCTGGTGGGAATGTAAAATGGTCCAGATGCTTTGGAAAACAGTCTGGCAGTTCTCAAATGATTACAAACAGAGTTACCATATGACCCAGCAATTCCACTCCTAGGTATGACTCAAGAGAAGTGAAAACCTACGTCCACACAAAAATTTGTACACAAATGTTCATAACAGCATTATTCAAAAATAACCAATAAGTGCAAACACCCAAATGTCCATCAATTGATGAATGGATAAATAAAATGTGATATATTCACACAATTTAATATTTTTCAGCCATAAAAAGGAATGAAGTACTGATTCACGCTACAAGATAGATGAACCTTGAAAACATTATGCTAGTGAAAGCCAGTACAAAAGGCCACATATTGTATAATTCCATTTATATGAAATGTCCAGAAAAGGCAAATCCATAGGGACAGAAAGTAGATTAGTGGCTGCCAGGGTCTACAGGAGAAGGGAATGGGGAGTGACTGCTAACACTTATGGGTTTATTTTTGGGATGATGAAACGTTCTGAAATTAGCGGTGATGGTTACGCAACTCTGTGAATATACCAGAACCACTGAATTGTATACTTTAAAAGGGTGAATTTCATGGTATATGAATTATATGTCAATTAAAAGAATTATATATCAATTTGTAAAAAACGAATGCCTTCATTTTTTTACTGGGAAAACAAATGTCCTTCTTCCAGTTTTGAAACCTGAAGTCAGAAGCACACAGCCCACAACATAATTACCTGAATAAGAAAGACGGTGTCAATAACCTGGAAATGTCCAAGGTCATCAACGTAAGTCTCCAGGTACAAGTCTGACACCACCACCAACTGGACCAGAAACCCAGTGCTCACAATGGCCAGGGTGGCAGCAGAGGCCGTCAACGTCAAGAGGTAGATGAGGAAGTACCTGGCATTCCAGGCCCCGATGCAATTGTTCACCCAAACACAGTGATGGTCAAAACGGTGCACACACCGGTTACACACACCTGCACAGAAATGGGAGAGCCACAACCCTGGGTTAGTCCTTGATGAGACAATGACACCATGCACACCTATTGACAGTTTTACAAACTGACCACTGGCAGTATGAGCTGGGGCAAATGGCAGCTGCTGTCAACAAGCTTTTAGAACTGCAGTGTCCAATACAGTAGCCACTAGCCACATGTGGGCACTGAGCACTTGAAATGTGGCTACAAGAAAACCTTGACAGAATACTTTGTTGATATTGATAAATTTACAGTTGTTTTTCAATTTGTGCAATGCTCCTTTGAGTTCAGTGTGAATAATACTTAGATGACACAAAAGTTAGTGAATTTACTTAACTTGGACAGTTTTAAAACATTACTTTTGCTTAAAAGTCAAATCAATTCTTCTGATAAAGATGAACCATTATATGAATGTAGATGTGGATATTAAAGAAAAATGATTTTTTGGTACTGATTCAATTACTAGAAAACTTTTAAGAATGTCTGGAATAGCTTGAGTATGTGAATCTGCTCTTCCAACTGTAAATTTTTTTTTCAAAAGCATCAACTTTTTTTTTTTTTCCCCAGGGAAGGATTTGCCCTGAGCTAACATCTGTTGCCAGTCTTCCTCTTTTTTGTTTTTTCTTCCCAAAGCACCAGTACATAGTTGTATAGTTATAAGTCCTTCTAGTTCTATGTGAACCACTGCCACAGCATGGCAAGTGACACACGGGTGGTGTGGTTCCGAGACCAGGAACAAACCTGGGCCGCTGAAGCGGTGAGAGCACCAAACTTTAACCACTAAGCCATCAGCACTAGCTCCCAACTGTAAATTTTATGAAATCTAAATACAGATCAAGTATTTCTGATGAAAACATAGTGTATGGATTGAGACATGCTGTAAATGTAAAATATACAGCAAATTTCAAAGACTTAGTATGAAAGAGAATATAAACTACCCCATGAATGATTTTTTATATTGATTACACGTTAAAATGGTATTTTAGATATGTCAGGTTGAATAAAATATATCATTAAAATTAATTTCACCTATTTCTTTTTACTTTTGTAATGTGGCTACTAGAAAATTTAAAATCATGTACGTGGCTCGCATTATATTTTCATTGCACAGCACTAGTGTAGAATCTTGGCCACTCCCCAGAAGAACAGGCCCTGCCAGGACTGAAATCTGCAAGCACAACATTGTGCAGAAACATCTCTTGGGCCATATGCCCTGCCACTTGGCAAAGGAAGGGCTGTCATGCCCAGGGCTGACAGTTGCCCACTATACAAGAACACAAGACCTCACTTCCTGAAAGAAACCACTATCTGGCCTCTACTAGCAGTGGCCGCCCCATGTCTGGGGGTCAAATGGCCCTGCTTTTAGATTTACATAATATTCCCTTACAGACAAAGCCCATGTGTCTGTTGTGAGAAGGTGGAGCCAGAGCAGCCAAAACCACACTTACCGCAGTGCTTAGATCGCGCTGGTTTCCTTAAATCACAAGTAGAGCAACTCATGTTCTTTGGGAACATCACTTCATCAAATTCATAAACTTGAAGAAACAATAATTCATTTGCTTTTGTTATGGTACCTGAAAAAAGTAAGCACAAATGTCAGTTTCAAGCAATATAGTGGACTGGAGGTTCACAAAACCTGTCCTGATGCAGCACAACTAAAACTGCTGTATTTAATATTTTAAGTAATTTATTTTATAATTTTTAACAGCTTTATTGAGATATACTTCATAAACCCAATTCACCCATTTAAAACATAAATTCAATGGTTTTTAGTATATTCACAGAGTTGTGCGACCATCACCACAATCAATTTTAGAATAGTTTCATCACCCCAAAAAGAATTCCTCTAGCAGTCATTCCCCATTTCTCTCTAATCCCCCAGCCCCTGGCAACCACTAATCTACCTTCTGTCTCTAAGGACTTGCATTTTCTGGACACCTTAAGTAAAGGGAATTATATAACATGTGATCTTTTGTATCTGGCTTCTTTCACTTAGCATAATGTTTTCAAGGTTCATCCATGTTGTAGCAAGTATAAGTACTTCATTCCTTTTTATTGTTGAATGATAGTCCATTGGATAGGTATACATTTTATTTATTGATCAGTTGATGGACATTTGGTGCTTCAAGGACAGAAGTTAAAAGTTAAAGGATGGAAAAAAATATCAAGCAAATATCAATCAACAGAAAGATAGTGTAATAATATTAACATCAGACAAAAGAGACTTGACAGCAAAGAGTATTACTAGTGACAAAGAGACTTGTATTTTTAAAAAAGATTCAAGAGATAATATTAATTCTAAACTTGAATGCATCTAATAAGAATATACAGAACGAATTTATACACACTCATATAATAGTTTCAAAATATGTGAAGTGGGGTTGGCCCCAAGGCACAGTGGTTAAGTTGGGCACATTCTGCTTCGGCAGCCCGGGATCACAGGTTCAGGTCCTGGGCACAGACCTACACCACTCATCAGCCACGCCACGGCAGTGACCCACATATAGATAGAGGAGGATTAGCACAGCTGTTAGCTCAGGGCTAATCTTCCTCAAGAAAAAAAAATTTTTTTTAAATAATAATAAAAAATAAAATAATAAAAAAATATGTGAAGCAAAAACTAACTACAAGGAGAAATCTGTCAAATCTACCATCAGAATGAGATATCTCTCTCAGCAATCAATGAGACAAAAAAATTAGTGTGAATATCAAAGATCTGAATATAATTAACAAACTTGATCTAACATACTTATATGGTTCTCTGTACACAAGAACTAGGAAATACACACTCTTTTCAAGCACACATGGATCATTTACAAAAACTGACCACACACCCAGGCATAATGCAAATATCAATAAAATTTTTAAAAGAAACAGTATCTTACAGACCACAAGCTCTCTATATAATACGATTAAGTGAAAGTATCAAAAAATTAAACTAAAAAATTTATATGGAAAATTTTAAACAGTTCTAAATGGTCAAGGAAGAAAAAAATAAAATTAGAAAACACTCAGAACTGAAAGATCATGAAAACATTACATATAAAATCTTTTGCAAAGTCCTTAGAGGGATCACTCCTTGTTAGAGGCACTATCGGTAAGACTGACATTTGAGCTGTCACCAGTCTCTGTCCTAAGAGCCTCAACTTACCAGGGTTGGTTACACAAGTTAGGGTGAAAAAAATCAGGTTTACAATCAGCAGCAGATAGGGCAGAAGGAGGTAATACAAGGAGAACTCCAGCTCTTGACAGTAGCCAAATATTTCCCAGGTGTATTCAGTATAAACCATCCCTTGCAAGATGAGGTGCAGGATAATGAAGGTGTAGTTTCTGAAAGGAAATAGGCACATGGCTTGCTCACGGGGGCTTCTCCATGAAGAAATCATACAATACTAAGGAAAGTTAACCAAGGGCCAACTACTTCCTTTGGGCTTGAGATAGTAGTGAGAAATACATAAGAAACTATGTGAAACGTTTCACAAAGTGCCTAGCACATAGTAAGTACTCAATAAATGTTACCTATTATTATCATCTTTGTTGAGAATTGAGGTCTCAGTATCAGAATATATTTCTTTTTACAGAAATGCATGTCAATATTTTCCCACTCTTTAAATATTTCTATTTAAAAGTAGACATCCCAAAACCCCAGAGATAAAAGATAGGTTATTTTTGAATAAGAGGTTCTAAACCCAGGACTCCTGATCCTTGCCAGCATCCTTCCCTGTACCAAGCTGGAAACCACGAGGAGCTTCCTGACACTAGAGGACAGCAACAATTAACAATCAAAACAGAAAAGAAGTAATATTTAAACTCTGTAATATAAATACTGTGTATGGAAGAGGTAATGAAGCAATCTTAGCACGGCTCTCAGAAGGCATTCTGGAATTATATAGGAAAATATCTGAAACAAAAGAAAAAAGAAAGATTCAATTTCATTTCTCATTCCCCCCACTCCCAAACAAATTAAATGCTTCACTTTCAGCTGACAATATTGGTGATATTAAGTTGTGTTTCTGCATACGGGCAGAGAGGAGATTTAAGAGAGAATCAAGAGGGGGCTGGCCCCGTGGCTTAGCAGTTAAGTGCGTGCGCTCTGCCACTGGCGGCCCGGGTTTGGATCCCGGGCGCCCACCAACGCACTGCTTCTCCGGCAGTGCTGAGGCCGCGTCCCACATACAGCAACTAGAAGGATGTGCAACTATGACAAACAACTATCTACTGGGGCTTTGGGGGAAAAAAAAAGGAGGAGGATTGGCAATAGATGTTAGCTCAGAGCCGGTCTTCCTCAGCAAAAAGAGGAGGGTTGGCACGGATGTTAGCTCAGGGCTGATCTTCCTCACAAAAAAAAAAAAAAGAGAGAGAGAGAGAATCAAGAGGAGGGCTTTCCTCAGCTGGCCTTCCTTTGATGCCAACTCCTCCATTTCCACCCTGACCCCAAAGAAGGCACCATGTCAGAGTCTCCAGGCAAAGGGAGATGAGCAGAGGGGATGGATCAGGTAATGCTAATGTGAACACCATTCCCTTCCCTGCCTTGGGTTCAATCCCAGGTTCCAGAGTCAACCTCCACATCACTGGGCATTAGCCCAGATCCCTGACAAGTCAACCCCTTCCCAAGGCTGCTCACCCCAATTTTGCTCACTTTGATCCCTGAAGGAGCGTGGGCAGCATGATGCTCAGCCTTCTGCTCATACATCCCCCAGTTTCACCCATCAGGCCCCTCCAGGCAGACACTGCTCACATCCATGCCCAATTACAGGTATCAAATACAGAGGAAAATAGCCAAGCTTGAGAATGCTATCTTCTGTCAAGCATCATTACAAGATTATTTTCAACAGTAAGAAAAAAGCAAAAACAGAGAGACACTTTCGAATATACCACCACTGCCATAAATGAAAGAACAAGTGAACAAAGAATAAAAATGGCATCTCTTTTTGTTGCCAGGAAACTGGTGAGCCTTTTAGACTGGTGGTAGTCAAAACCCAGTGGTCTCCAAGCATCATTGTTACCTGTGCTCCTCCCCTGACAACGCCTTTCAAATAATGGGTTTTTGAGCAGACGCAGATCATAACAACACCAATCAGCACCAAAGCCACGTAGAACAAAAAAAGAACCAGAAAGTCCATCCTGGGGCTACAAAGGAAAAGAAAGAGTGTGACTACTATTGAGGGATATATTCCATGGCACATATTCTCAGACATCAACTCCCTAAATGGCTCCCAGAACAGTTCATCCACCCTCAAGTACACATTGCTTTTCAGTGGGGCAACCCAGATGGTCCTGAGCTCTCTCTCCTTCAAGAGTTTCCTAATCAAACCACTGCTTTGGGGCATCTCCTGCCTGCAAATTCCAAAATAAAAGTGGGGAATAATATGAAAAACGCATCTATCTTCCCTCCCCCCAGCAATGACTCATTCTTTTACTTTCTTAGGTATAAATTTTCACATAGATACTGATACAGAATGTACCCAAAAGAATCTGCGGACAACGCTATTGAAATAAGCATCCCCTAGAGGGAGTGAGGGGCCCACGCCCAGGATCTGGCATTGTATCCTATGAAGCATCCCTCCAGGATAGTGACCAAAACAATCAGGGATCACCCACAGAGACCAGAGATAACACACAGGCCTGTATTAAGAAACTGGAAATGGTTACTTTTGGCCTTAGCAGATATGATTCTGGGCCAGACTTTCAACTGAGATAACCAAACTAGAAACTATTCACGAGGTAAGACAGAGGAAACAAAGAGCAGCAGTTCTCACGAGGTGATTCAGGGTCTCCAGCCTACATAGATCTCGTTTGGATAATTTTCAAGCCAACAGCTCTGGCATTCCTCCTCCCAACATTCACAGAGAATTCACACGGCATCTCCTCTTGTGCAGCGGCGGGCGCCTGGCACAACAGGTGGCACCCAAAGCTGCAGGAGACATGGTTCCTCTAGGAGGCTGGATCTGGCTGCAGAGACAACAATTCGACACTTTCATACTAAGACAGGGTAGGAGTCAGAGGGAATACACTGTGGAAAAGTATTTGGAAGTAGGGGGATGTTGAGACCCCGCAGGGTCAACAGGGTTATAAGACTTCGGGAGAAAAAGCTCACTGGGAAGAAATAAACCGAAGCCTTGGATCCCGGTGTTTATCCCTATTCCTGAGGTGCCTACGCTGGGCACAAGACAAAAGGGCCTCCCCGAGGCTACTCTCTATCCGAGGGTCCCGGCGGGTGGGCCGGAACCCGAGGTGGCGGGCGGGGTGCAGAAGGCTCGGAGGGGACACTGGGCATGCCCGGGCCCCGAGCGGGGTGGAGGTGGGGCTGCAGCCCCATATACAACGAGGAAGGGCGAGTCAGACAGCGAGATGGACGCCCCTGGACCAGCGGGGTAGTCTAAGAGCCCCACGAAGGCAGCCTTACCGCCAGGGTCAGCCAACCGCCAGGTGCACTGCGCCTGCGCCCCCAGGGCGCGCCCGCACACTGCGGGAGAACCAGTGACGTCAGCACGCGACGATTTCAGCCAGGCCGACTTCCGGCGGAAGTGCGTGGGGCGGGGTGTGGGGGCGGGGTCTGGCCCTTGCGTGCTGGGTTGTTGTGGGTGTTCGTCTGTGCTTGTGTGGGTTCTCCCAGACTTGTCTCATCTGACAGCTGGAAAGTCGAACTTTAGAGCGCTGTTGCAAGAAATCTTACAAAAAGACCGTCTCAGGCCTGGTACGGGCGAGAACATCAGTTTTGGGAAGCCGACCGAGCCGCCCAGCGGCCTGGGTCGAGCCCAGTCAGGGTCCGGCTCCCAGCCGGGCACGGTCCCGGGCGGCCCAGGGCGGGCACACTTAGGGGCTCCTACGCTGTGTCTTTGTGGTGAACAGCGTTTGCTTTGCTTTCTGCCCACCACACCGTTGGGATCTGTCCGAACCGTTCCAGAGTCTGCTCCTGCTGTCTCTGAAGAGCTCTGAACATCCTTCCCCGGGGAGCAGTGACAATTGCTTGACGACAAACCTGGAGGATAAGAAGGAAGGCTGTTTAGTGATAGTTGAACCTGGGGTGAGAAGAGCTGCTTCCAAACATAGGTTTGAGAAGTCCCCTGTGGGCTGTTCCTTTGCTCTGAACGCCTCTGAACCCGCTGAGACCAGTCTATTCTTGATGCCTCTGAAAACCTGTCTGTAACTGAGCCAGGCCTATCCTCCCTTTTGAGAGGAAATGTCTGATCTCTGAACACTGGCCTTAAAGCTCTTCTTTTTTCCTGTCTTTGCTACCTACCCCAGTTCCTTGATTCCTTTTCTTTTTCCTTTTTAAAAAACTTACCAAGCTGGGCACTTCCTCCTGATACATTGTGTGCCAAGGCCTTTATGAACTTGTGGACACAGAATTGAAAAACAAAAATCAGAAGACATGATGCCACCAGAGAAGACTGTGGCTGTGGACAGAGCCTCTTCACATATCCAGAGTGGGCTGGATTTCATGAGTGTCTCCAGCTGACTCATCACCCTGCTGGTTAATTCTGAGCTGGTGGTGAAGTATCTTGAGTTAGCTTTTTTTGCTCATAAATGCAGAACTTTATTTTTATCCCCATTCATTTTTCTCTGGATGGTTTCAGTTGAGACTAACTTTGAATTTCGGTTTGATCACCTATGGTATTTTGTGCTAGGTTGCCTTTCTTTAATTTTTTGAAAATTTATGCAAGTAGTACAATGTTATGTTCTTGTAAAAAAGTCAAACTATACAAAACAAAACCAGAAAGCTCCCTGACCACCACCCCTCTCCAATCCCAGTCCCTTGACAGAATTAATCACGTATTTAGTGTGTATCCTCCAAAACTCTTTTATAGATTTACATATATATTTATTCAACAAATATGTATTGAGTACCCAATATATGCCAGGCACTATTCTAGGCACTGGGAACATAGCAATAAAACAAAAATCTCTGAACTTTGTAGTTTACATTATAGTCTATATATACAAACAGATAATTCATTGTTGTTTACAGAAATGGCATTATCTTAGACATAACACTTCTCCATCTTGCTTTTTTTTTTTCACTCAACAATCTGTCTTGGTGATCTTTCCACACCACTATGTATATATCTACCACATTGTATTTACTTCATTATCTACATTTTGTTACTAAGCTGAGCCATAACTCATCTGCCAGGGTCCCAAACTCCAGTGCCTACAGGGGCTATGCAGGTAACAAGTCAGTAAAGTGACAAAGTGGAGCAGGTGTGTTTGGTTGTAAGCAGAAGTAGCTATTTTCACAGACCAAAGAATTAACTTGAATTCCGGTGTTTTAAGACTATTTGAGAATCTATATTTTTATAACATAAATCTCCTAATTTTTTAATGTTGGCAACCAATTCAAGATTTAAAACACTGTTCAGACTATGCACAACACACCTGCAGGACAAATTGAGCCCAAAGGCCACCAGTTTGCAACCTCTAATATAACTGTTCTATTACTAAATATTTGGGTTAATTTCAGTTTTTTGCTATTACAAACAATGTTTCAGTGGGAATACCTGCATGAGCTTCATTACACACAAGTAGATGGACTTTTTCTAGGGCAGCTACAGGAAGTAGAATTTCTGGGCTGAAGAATGTATAGGCATTTTTCATTTTAATAAGTGCTACTAAATTGCTTTTCAGCTACAAATGTCTGAGAGACCCTGTTTCCAAACCCTTGTCAACATTTAATATATCAACTCCTTTAATATTTACTATTCTGATGGTGAAATGGCATTTTATTTGTTTGCTCAATAAACAGTTACATAGCACTTCCTGTGTTCCATGTACTGTCCTAAGCACTTTAAAATTTTTAAATATTTATCATAATCTATATAGTAACTCTATCTTATCTAATAATGAAAGTATTATCATTATCATACCACTTTTACAGATGAAGAAACGGAGGCAAATAGAAGTTAAATAATTTTCCGAGGGTCATAGAGCTGGAAGGTATTAGAGCCACGATTCAAACTCAGACCGTTGGGCTCAAGACTTAGTCAGTGTTCTTAATTACCGTGCTGGGCTGTCGTAATGACAACTGGCCAGTTTCTAGTTACGTTGAACATCTTATGTGTTTATTGGCCAATTGACTTCCCTCTATTGTGAATTGCTGACAATTATCCTTTGCTGTTTTTATTTGAGTTGTTTACCATTTTCTTGTTGCCTTGCAGTACTTATTTACATATTTTCTGTACTTGTTAGGGTACAAGCTAAGCTGCTTCTCTTAGTTTAGGTTCACCCAAAAGCAAACCCCAAGACAAGGATTTGGTACAAGTAGTTTGTTTTTGGAGGTGTTCTCAGGAAACATGGTGAGGGATTGGGGAAGTGAGAGAGAAGGGTGGAAAGCCAAGAAAGCAGATGTTGATGAGTAGGGCTGGGCATCTGGGGCTCAGTCCCAGGGGGGATCCTCTGAGAGGCTCCATAGAACATGCCTCGGAGTTGTTCCACTGAAGGGCAAAGCAGCTGGAGTCTTCACCCAACCACTCCAGGGGAGTAACTCCCTAGTCCTTCTGGCCTGCTCACCCCTAGGCCAGGCCAGCCCCAAGTACAGAGAATGCCCTGGGGCAGACTCAGGAAGCCACCAGCATGTAGAGGAACCCTCTGCAGGTGACCTCCACAGTGGGCTGTGGGGATATGGACAGGGCACCTGCAATGTCTGCTATGCTGTTGTAACAGAAAGGCCCCAGAATGCAATGGCTTTAATAGGAAAGAAGTTTCTTTCTTTCACATGCAATAGTCCAGAGGTAGGTGGACAGTGCAGGAGCGGTAGGCAGCTCTGCTCCCAGAGATCCACAAGATCACACAAGGACCCAGAGTCTTCCTATCTTGTTGCTCCACCTCTAGGCAAAACTTCCCAAACTTCCTCTGTTCACAGTACCCATAAGTGACTTAGAAATTTTTTCACAGAGCTCCTAAGCTAAAAGAAATATCTGAAAATCCCATCTATTAAATAATTAGCTCTAAACAGCTTCATAAGTATTTATGTCCTAACAACTTAGTGCCCCCTGCACACCGTACGATTTACCAAACTTTAAAATCAGATTGGAAAGCACCCTTCTCATTTCCTGCTCCACATAGATATTCCAGTGGCACTTGCTTTCTAAATCCATCTCTGCAAAGATGCGACATCAGGAATTGAGCAATCTAATGCTGAAAATGCAAACTAGCTCAAGCTAGCATTTCATGTGCTACACAGATGTTGCTTTGTTTCATCAAAATTTTAAGATATCCCACAGCACCCCTATGAGTTTGATGTGGCACCCCAGGGCACTTTGTGCACAGTTTGTCCTTACCCCAAGGTCACCACCTTCCAGCCCCTGAGAAAAGGGAAAGGAAATGAAGAGCTGTTTCCTTTTAAGAATGGAACTTGAAATTTGCACTTAGCCTTTCCTGCTCAGATCCCATTGGCCGGAACTTAGTCACGTGGCCATACCTGGCTGCAAGGGGAGCTGGGAAATGTAGTGTTTGGCTGTGCTGCCTTGTGTCCAGCTAGCACTTGGAAGCTTGTTTTTACTGAAAGGAAGAAATAGAGGGAAATTATTCTCTAATGTATTCTGGATATTAATCCTTTGTCTCTGACATAAATTCCAGATATTTTCTCCTATATGTCACATATCTGTTAACCTTGTTTATGGTGTCTTTGTCACACAGAGGTTTTAAATTCTGAAGTACTTATATTTATCAACCTTTTCTTTTGTGGCTTTTGTTTTTGTATCTTATTTAACAAGGTATTCTTTACTCCAATATTACATGCACCAAAACAACAACACACACACATATACAAAAATATATTCTCCAATATTTCTTATAGTTGTTTTACATTTTTATCTCTAATTCATCTGGAACTTCTTCCTGTGATGACTGAGATCATTCAGAAGAGAAAGGAGACGTTTAAAGTGTGTAGCCAAGGCACTATTAAATTCTTACCTGCCTTCCAACACACATTCCTGCTTTTCATGACAATCTTCTGCACATATGTGGTGTAGTGAACACTGAGGTTTCCTACTCAACGTGTCTCCTATGCCTCTCTCTACATGCTCTTTGGTAGGACTGAACTATTCCCAGCTCTAGAGGTGGGTCCTAATTGGTCTCAGCCAATCAGGATAATTCTGTCCTCCTTATCACAATAATTTTTCAAGACGAAATTCAACCAAGGCATGACCAGCCTCTGGAATGCGAGTGAGCCAATTAGAGTGAAGCTAGGATTCCTGTTCAATGAACCTGGGATTCCTT